GGCCCCATGGGGAGCTCCACCGAAGGTCTCAGTGGGTGTGCCCGCATGCGTCCCGCACGCCCATTTCGGCCCATCCCTCACACGTTTCGTGGCCCCATAGGGAGCTCCACCGAAGGTCCCAGTGGGTGTGCCCGCATGCGTCTCGCACACCCATTTCGGTACACCCCATTCCACCGAAGGTCCCAGTGGGTGTGCCCGCATGCGTCCCGCACACCCATTTCGGGTTTCGTGGCCCCATAGGGAGCTCCACCGAAGGTCCCAGTGGGTGTGCCCGCATGCGTCCCGCACACCCATTTCGGCACACCCTCACACGTTTCGTGGCCCCATAGGGAGCTCCACCGAAGGTCCCAGTGGGTGTGCCCGCATGCGTCCCGCACACCCATTTCGGCACACCCCTCACACGTTTCGTGGCCCCATAGGGAGCTCCACCGAAGGTCCCAGTGGGTGTGCCCGCATGCGTCCCGCACACCCATTTTGGCACACCCTTCACATGTTTTGTGGCCCCATAGGGAGCTCCACCGAAGGTCCCAGTGGGTGTGCCCGCATGCGTCCCGCACACCCATTTTGGCACACCCCTCATACGTTTCGTGGCCCCATAGGGAGCCCCACCGAAGGTCTCAGCGGGTGTGCCCGCATGCGTCCCGCACACCCATGTCGGCCCACCCCTCACACGTTTCGTGGCCCCATAGGGAGCTCCACCGAAGGTGACCGTGGCACAGTCCGCATGCGTTCCCGCCAGTCATGTCGGCACACCCCTCACACGTTTCGTGGCCCCATGGGGAGCTCCACCGAAGGTCCCAGTGGGTGTGCCCGCATGCGTTCCCGCCATTCATTTCGGCACACCCCTCACACGTTTCGTGGCCCCACAGGAACTTCACCGACGGTCCCCGTGGCGCAGTCCGCATGCGTCCCCGCCATTCATTTCGGCACACCCCTCACACGTTTCGTGGCCCCATAGGAGCTCCGCCGAAGGTCCCAGTGGCACAGTCCGCACGCGTGCCCGCCATTCATTTCGGCACACCCCTCACACGTTTCCTGGTCCCAAGGGGAACTCCACCGAAGGCCCCCGTGGCGCAGTCCGCATGCGTCTCCCTTGCCCAGTACAGCGTTACGTGGCCCCATATGGAGCCCCACCGCAGGTCCCAGCCAGCCAGCTAGCTCTCTTTGCTCCGCGCAGCGGGCGACCCGCGCGCGTCGCTGGGACCCCTCCGGGGCGACCTGCGCGCGTCGCGGGGGCTCCGTGCTGCGTTCTGCCCAGCGCCTCGATCGCCCGTCGTCGCTCTGCCCAGCGGCAAGAGCCTTGCCCGCTATCAGCCAGCCAGCTAACTCTCTTTGCTCCGCGCAGTGGACGACCCGCGCGCGTCGCTGGGACCCCTCCGGGGCGACCTGCGCGCGTCGCGGGGACTCCGCGCTGCGCTGCGCCCGCAGCCTTGGACTTGTGAGTGCGCGGGCAAAGAGGGAGTAAAGGAAGGGGAGGAAGCGGGCGCGATCCTCGCGGGGGGGCGCGCCGACATTGGCGTCGCGGCGCGCGGGCGATGCCGTCGGGGAGTCCTGGGGAAGCTCCTTGCGGCGGCCACGCCCAGCGTCACGAGTACTCAGAGGCAGTCATTGTCAAACTATTGACATTCATACACAAGTGCACCACGCTGTGTCATATTCGCATTCATGCACGTAGACTCGCTCGCACGCAGATTCATTCACAGTCAGACGCACGCGCGCAGATTCACCCGCGCTCAGTCTCCCTACGTACTCAGATCAATCGTTTCCGTTCGCGTTGTGTACCACGCCATTCATGTCGGCACACCCCTAGCACGGTTCGTTGCCTCATAGGGATCGCCACCGAAAAAGTGAATCACAATTGCGGTACTCGCACCTGCATATGGTTGGGTCCCTCGTCAGGCTAATTTATCTTTATGTGCTAACGATATCGCCGGAGGGCGCCGCCCAAAATAATTATTTATTTTATTTTCTGAGCTAACGATATCGCCGGGGGGTTTACTGTTTGCTTCCCGGGGTTGCTTTGGCGCCTTGGACCGATAGTCCGGCGATTCGGGGTCCTCTTGGACCGTCTTGGTTCCTCTTGGGGCAGTCTTGCTTCGTTTTGGGGGTTTTTGGGCTTTGGGACCTCCCGTGGGTGGTCTGTGGACGATGTCTCATGCCCTTTTGACTTTTGCTGCGCATTTTTTGGTTATTTTCTGTTTGTCTTCCAAAGCCCGCCTGTAGGAGGACATGCCCGACTTAACCCATCTCTATGAGTGGAATCGCCCCATCTCGATGCCAGTCTTAAGGATGATTTCAGTTTTGGTGGGCGCATCCCTGAGACTGTCATCGCCTTTTGGCTCGGCATTCTTAGGGATAGGGATAAAGTCGAGGCTGGTTAAATTTTCGGGCTCTCGGGGCCCTCCACGGGTTGAACGACTCAGGATGAAGGAGCTGGTCTGGGGGATGGCCACGGGGTCCACGACTTATTTCCCTCATGGCCCGTTTCTCAGATGCTCGTTTTGGGGACCTTCCTGGGGCCCACCTAACAGATCTGTTCGACCCCAGTTCGACTCAAGTTCGACTCAAATTCGATTCAAGTTCGGCTCAGGTTCGACTCAGGTTCGACTCGAGGTCGACTCGAATCGACGGACGTTCGACGCAGCTTCGACGCACGAGTAGAGCGAGTGGCTCCAGGAAGGTTCCCAGAATGAGCAGTTCCTTCGAGGAAAAAACTGTATGAACATACATTTTCGGAGTTCCCCGCGGATTTCTTGGATCTCTGCTGGACCTCCTGGCGGCGCCTCCGGTGCCCCCCCCGGGCGCGCTCCGCGCGCCAGGGAAGGGGGTAGACCCAAGAAATCCGCGCGGACCGTCCAGAGTTTACGTTGATGCTGTTTTTTTCACTCTAGTCCAGGACACGCTTCCCTCATGACCGTGGGCGCCGGAGCGGAGGTAGGGAGGCGGCGGGCGGAAGGCCCCGGGGTCCAGAGCCCGTTTCCCTCAGGGCCCATTTCATTCCCTTCATGCCAAGGCCCTGTGGCGTCCTGGGGGTCTCGGTCGGCCGCCAGCGCGCGCCAGTGCTAACTTTTTCGGGGCCCTGCGCGCCGGTGCCCCCGAGGATGCGTGTGGGGAGCGGTCTCCGCGGCTGCACATCGGCCATGCGCAGAGGGGGGTAGGGGGAGGGGGGAAGGTTTCTTTGAAGCACCCCTGCTGCTTAGATGGCGCGGGCCTTGTCTATAGATGTTAGGCGGGCGCCTTCTGAGAAGCAGCCTCATTCTAAGAAGTCTTCCCCCCTCCCCCTACCACACTATGCGCGGGGGTGTGGTTTGGGATCGGCGGCGTTGGGGCCTGGGGGCACGGCACTATCCTCGTCGGGCCTCCTCGGGGCACGGCGGAGAATTCTATCGAGGTCCCCGCCTGCCCCCCAGGGTGCCCCCCAGGGTGCCCGTCGCAAACCGCGCCCCTCGCAAACCACACCCTTCGGACTCGCCGACGGTCGGCGGTTCCCTGGTCGGTGGTCGGTGGCCGAGGACCCGTGGCTTCGAAAAAGAAAAGCGCGCTCTTGCACTTGAGGATCCGTGCGGGAAGCGGTCGGCCGTGCCCTGGTCGGTGGCCGATGGCCGAGGCCCCGTGGTCTGTGGTCGGTGCCCTGTAGTTGGTGTCCCTCGAAGGTAGGGGAGGAAAAGGTAAAATGTATCCATACCGCTACCCTTGCCCCGTTTTCCCCTTTTTTGGCATCCTGGGAGGCCCTCGTCGCAACAGCTGGATTCGCCTCGAACTTCTGGTTAGAGCGCGCCTGTGGTTGGTGCCGTGTGGTTGTCGAGGAACAGAAAGCGGCATAAACGTGAACTTTCGGAGATCCGCGTGGATTTCTTGGATCGGCGCTGGAACCCCCTGGCGGCGCCTCCGGCGCAGCCCCTTGCGCGCTCCGCGCACCAGGGTTCCAGCGCAGATCCAAGAAATCCGAGCGGAGATCCGAAAGTTCATGTTGATGCAGTTCCTCTTCTTCTTCTTCTTCTTCTTCTTCTCCTTGTGGTGGGTGTTTTTACAACGGTGCCCTGGGCGGGAGGTATTGTTCGGGGTCGACGCGCTGACATGATTGTTATCTCTGCTCTGACTGTTGACTTCGTTGGATGGGCTATTGCATGTCCAATTGCCCAGCTTGCCTCGTTTCCTGATTCTTTCCTAATTTTGTCATTCGCCTCTTATTTCCTCCCGCTACTCGGACATGTCTATAGCATCGCCAACGGTCCTTATGTCTGGATGCTTGTGTAGACCCCGCCACCGTGCCAGCATAACATCGAATCGCATTCTGGATAGTGTCGCCTTGAGGCCGTCCAGTCCCGCCCTCGTTCGGTGATCTCAGGGCCCCGGAAACCAGGATTGCCAGATCGGGGTGAGAGAAATGATGAAGAATAGAGAAGGGTTCGACCCACGGCTGTGGCTTTCTCGGGCGTGCCCACGTCCTGGTTTGTCGACGTCCCCGTTGGCGGGGCTCTGGTGATACTCGGGACGTCTTAGCCCAGTGCATGTTTGCCCTGTTGAGCTCCACCGATAGCACGTAGCCTGTGTCGGCCCTCATTGCGAGGCTTGCGTCGCGATGAAGGGCCTCGGTGGACAGGCACACGTTGGCGCTAATACACGGTTGGCGCAAACACACGTTCTGAGGATCTTCGAGTCGTGGAGCCGCATTGGGCCGTCCAGTGACAGTGTTGTGAACTTCTGGGGTCTCTCTGAAGTCAGGGTCCATTTCGATCTGAACGATCCGATTCGATATCTCATGGCGCCAACATCACAGAGCGGATTTCGTTCGGACAACAATGGGATGGGCCTGGATTGTCGTGGAGAATTTCGTTCCCGATTTTGAAGTGAATGTCGTGCGGACCCTCTTGTCCAGGAAAGAAAACTACAACAAACATCCACGTGAAATTCACTCCGTTTTTCGCTCGCCTTTTCAGGGCTTTGTACGGGCAGAGATCTGCGCGTAGTGAGATTTCGATTCAGGCCTGCCCGATCCGATTCGATTCCGATATCCCGAAGGTCCGATATCCCGACGTTTTTGAGCTTAAGGCTTAAGAGGTGAACCTCCAGTCGGGCGATTACCTTTTGCCACTGGGCGCTTCTTGACCAGACTACGAGATACATGCCCACGACGAGCATGCCTCGGCAGCCAGCTCTGCGCCAACCCGCAGCAAAGCACACCCGGACTGCTTTGCCCAAGAGCGCGGCCACGTGCGACGAGCATGGCGCCGGTTTCGGATCTCCCTTATGCCGCGAGTGGAGAGACGACACGGGCCAGACGTATCACATTCGATGTGGGACTATAAGACCACGATGTGTGCCGATCGGCGCGCCACATCGCCCAGACGCAGCCCAGCGTTGGACGTGTACTTTTAGGGCAGAGGATGGCTATTCTAGGACGTTCGTTCTGACTCCTGACGAGCCCTCTGGCAAGATTTGGTGGGGATTCGGGAAGTCGTTCTATTGCGTGGTCGGCGCAGTGGCCCGCAGCGGCGTTCTGAGATGGTACCAGCCCAGCTCAATGATTGCCTCCTCCGTCTGGAGGGCGAAGCCATTCGAAGATAAGCGCACAGCACGCGAACGACCAGTGCCCCTCAGTTCGTCAGTGGGCGCTCGGTCGCTCGCCAGATCAGGCCCAACAGTGAAGCTGGAGGTTCGGCCTAAGTGGCTGCCGAAGGAGGTCAGCACGAGGCTGGGCGATGAGCCGTGCCAGAGGTTGGTTGGTCAGGCGGCCGAGAGCAGCAACGGCGACGGCGAGAAGAAGGCGGCTGAGGACGAGGCGCTAGAAGTAGTGGATGCGCCTCCCAGGCCTGCTGACACTGACTGCTCTCAGGAGCACGGCCCCGTCGATGAGCCACGCTCGCGGGCGGAGCTGAGCGAGAAAACGGAGGCCAAGGACGAGGCGCTCAAAGCAGTAGATGCGCCTTCCAGGTCCGCTGTTACTAACTGCTCTGAGGAGCGCGGCCTCGTCGATGCGCCATGTTCGCGGGCGGAGCTTCCCTCGGCGCTGAGGCATTTGCTCGAACAGATGGCGAGCACCAGGAAACACCTCGAGGAGGGGCGTATCCAGGCACCGCAGGAGCCGCGGAGCCCGCCCGCTGTCGACGCCAGGCAGCAGGTGTATCCCAGCTTGTGCTGTGGATCGGACGGCAGCAGCACGGAGGAAGGCATCCCGCTGCCAGTGGAGCCCGCGCCCGCGGCTGAGGTGATCCAGACGAGCGGGGCCATCATCGAGCTTCAAGAGGGCTTCCGGACCCCGCCTGGCCTCGCAGCGCCCCCAGGCATGCCATGGGTTGGGCATGGACGAGGCGCCGCCTGGGCTCACCCCGCCGCCGGCATCCGACGCTTCCCCCCGCGAGCTGATCGGGCCCCAGCTCCCATGCTGAAGGGCGGGCCAGACGACGAGACCCGCGCACGCTCCGACTCCTCGTGCACCGACGAGGCTGCTGAGCCCCCTGGGCCGGCGGGCCGGCAGGAGCCCGCGCAGGCGACGCCAGCGGGCGGCAAGGCAGGGGAGGCGCAGGGGAAGGTGCAAGAGCTCACCATCACCTTGGGCAGCAGATTCGACGATGCCCTTGGTTCCTTTCTGCGGCTCTCGAGCCACAAGCTGGTCAACATCGACGATTGTATCATCGAGGTGAACCGGCAGAGGGGCCTGGCGGCGAAACCCATCGCGCAGCCGTGCCAGCTCCAGGTCGAGGATGTCGTCATTGGCCAGAAGGCGCCGCACGATCCACAGCAGGCTTGACTGCATGTAAGAGTGACCCCTTTGCCAGAGCGACCTTCGGTGCGCGGCTTTCGGGGGGCGCGGGGGGGAGCAGACCCAAGCGCTCAGGCCGTTGCTGCCGCGTCGCACGCAACGATTGGCAAGGCGGGCTTCAAGTTTGGGGCTCTAAAGGATGGGGCCGCAATGACAGAGAGGGAGCTCAGGTTGCGTTCGCACTGTTTGAGGCACCTCGTCCCTCGGGCCCCATCCCTCGGGGTCTCATTTTTTGAGCCGCCCAAAGGCCCACTGTTGCGCTGGGTCGCTCCTGCGTGTGTCCGACAGGCCGCCGTTGCCGAGTCCCCCGCGGCGTCTGGGCCCGTGGCTGCGGCGAAGGGCTGCGCGGCGCTGGCGCCGGGTCCGGGAGGAACATGTTTTTGTTGAGATTCTGGCAAGCTGATTTGCCTGGCATTTTGCTCTCTGCTCCCCCCGTTCCTCCCCTCGAGGCCGTGCTGGCGGCCTCCACTGCGGCCGTGCTGGCGGCGGCCGCTGCGCCGCATCTACCTTCCGGACGGTGAGGGAGGTGGAGGTCAAGAGTCTTTCTTTCCCCCCCCACCTTCCCTCCCCTTTCCCCCTCCACCTTGCGCAATCTGAATACTACTCTTCTCGCTGTCTCTCTCTCTCTCTCTCTCCTGGTGACGTCCGGAAGATGTTCGGCCCCCCTCCGCGTATTGTTCTTTTATAGAGGATTCAGTGTTTTTCCCCAAACAGCTTGCTGAACGGGGTGCTGTTGTGATAGAAACTAACTCTGGCCGAGGGAAGGCGGAGCAGAGACATCCTCACACACACACATTTTATGGTTTTGGCCGTTTCGCTTGAGACATCCTCACAACTCTCGTTTCTGAGTTGGCCGGGATTGGCCGTTTCGCTTGAGACATCCTCGAAAAGTTGCGCTCCGGGACGCCGCGCGAGAGGTGGTCTGGGCCGTTTCGCCTGAGACATCCTCGAAACTCTGAGCTCTGCGATGCCTTGCGCGAGGTGGTCCGGCCCGTTTCGCCTGAGACATCCTCGAAACTCTAACTCTGACTTCGGAGATGCCGCGCGAGAGGTGGTCCGGCCAGTTTCGCCTGAGACATCCTCGAATTTCTGAGCTCTGAGATGCCCTGCGCGAGGTGGTCCGGCCCGTCTCGCCTGAGACATCCTTGCAACTCTGAGCTCTGAGATGCCGTGCGCAAGGTGGTCTGGCTTGTTTCGCACAAGACATTCTCGCAATTCTGAGCTCTCAGATGCCTCGCAAGAGGTGGTGTAGCCTGGGGGCCCAGAAGACAACATGTTACATATCATTTATGGGCCCCTGTGAGCCTCAGGAGGCCCCAGAGAGGTCCAGGAGGTCGCAGGACGCCCAGGACAGGCCCCAGGAGCCCCCAGGAGACCCCAGGAGGCTCCCAGGAGGCCCCAGGAGGCCCTCTTTCTGCTTACTCGCTGCCCCCGTGGCTTGGTGACGGAGTCGGGAAGGAACTATTTTGCCTCTAAGCCCAAGGCGGCTTCTCTCGTGCTGGCAACATATGCCTCTTGTGGGGTGCCTCTTGGAGCTGCAGGCCGGCCTGGCCAGGTCCGCGGCGACCCAGGAACGGTCGCCAGGAGCACTGGCCAGGCGCAACCCCCCCGAAGGGAAGTGGATTGCAGCAGGCACGTAAAAAATGGGTGTGGGGGGCGGGAGCGCTAGACCCCGACCCTTGGAACAGGGCGCCTGCGCGCGAACCGAATCCAGCAAAACGCACGAGAAAACAAACGAGGAAGACGAACCAAGACCCGCGACCCCGCAGAAACCCCTTTCCCCGAGTGCACAGCCCCCTAAGAAAGGACGCCTTCTGCTTACTCGCTGCCCCCGTGGCTTGGTGACGGAGTCGGGAAGGAACTATTTTGCCTCTAAGCCCAAGGCGGCTTCTCTCGTGCTGGCAACATATGACTCTTGTGGGGTGCCTCTTGGAGCTGCAGGCCGGCCTGGCCAGGTCCGCGGCGACCCAGGAACGGTCGCCAGGAGCACTGGCCAGGCGCAACCCCGAGGAGGCGAGTTTTTACAAGTTCCCAGTGAAGCGCCTCCACAGAGGCATTGGTGAAACGCGCGCCTGGCGATGAGTGGCGGCTGGGACCGCCGTGCCACTCGAAGCTGTAGACACGGCGCGTAGCAGCTGATCGCACCGTTCTGAATCTGAGAACCGGGCATAAAAAGGCTCGCGTGGCTTCTGGGGCTGACCAGCTGCCCTGGGCCTGCACTAATTATTCTGGTAAGGACTCCTTACTAAGGAGCACGCTGTTTTGTACTAAGGAGCACGCTGTTTTGTACCAGTGGGCACCACCTTTGCGCACGGAGTGCGTTCCCACTGCAGCAGTATGAAAGAATTGCGTGGGATTGCGGCGGAAAGAATCGCAGTTCATAGGGCGAGGCTCCGCCGAATGAGTTGTGCAAAACACGGGAGCATCTGGGTCGGAACCCCAGCGCGAGCACCGCTGCGCCAGCCATTCCCGCAGGAGGTGGCAAGGGCATTGACGTGGGATGTCGACCATCCTTGGGATGTGGCACACCATGCCGTGCCCGAACGGGTCGTTGTTTTGGCGGGCAACGAAAACCGTCGCGAAATTTTCGTGCAAAAATGTTTTGACGCCGGAGCGCGAGAGTCTCGGAGCACCTCCGGACGCCGAGAAAAGATACTGCTGCTATAGCGGCGTCCCGGGCAGCTGCCTGGCTGCCTGCTTTGAGGCGGGCGGTCTGGTAGCACCGCAGCTCCTCCAGAGATGCCGGGCGTTTCGCGTGCGACCGTGAACGGTCGGCCCGCTTCTTGAGACCTCTCCAGAATTGGGCCGACCGGTCCGCCCATGCACTGTCGAATTGCGCTGTCAAGTTGCGCTGCTGGTGTCAACAGCGCACTGCAGCGCGCAGATTCGTGACGGACGACCGGACCAGCCGTCCATCTGGGCAAACAGCAACATTAATTTTACGTCTGAATCGCACGGCAGCAGCTGCAGCCCTGCAGACTTTTCGAAAGAATCTACGCCGGTGCGCAAGGAGCGTCCATACCGCTTCTCGGTGCTTTCTTCCAGGACTGCTTCGAGGCAGCTGTGGATAGCCGATGCGGCCCTACTGCGGTGCGCCCCCTGTTCCACAGAAGCGCTCTCGCGAACTAGGGGCAAAAAGTCGGGGCCCTCGCTCAGAAGCTGGCGCGCGCCAGGTACGTCCACCGGCGGGTCTCGGACTTGCTCGGGATGAAACGCGGAGGACACAGCAAGCCCGCTTGACGAGCTACGGTGTCAGCGTGCGTCGCTCGGGCGGGCCCCCCCTGCAGGTGCCCGGGGTGCCTGCGAAGGAACAGCGCGGGGCCCCTGGATATGCGGCCTCTCGGCTGAAGGTCCCGGGTGCTCGAAATCGTCGCGGTGCAGGCAGGCGGGGCCAAGGCGCCGGCGGCGCGCGGGCTCTGGCGAACAGGGGCCGCGCTTCATCTTGAGCCCGATATGGATAGCGTCGCAGCGGCCCTTCCCGGACGACCGACAGGCGGGGGGGGGGCGGCGACGAGGGTGCATTTCGTGCCGCCAGACGGGCAGAAAAGTGCACCGATCGCGCGTTTTTTATCGATGCTTTTGGCGTTTGCCAGCCGCCTGGGCTGGCCGAGGCCCCAGGTGATAGTGGCCCCGTCGGTAGTTATTGCTTATGGCTCGCGGGCCCGGTGACCCCGCGCAGCGATGAAACAATATTTTTCTGAACCCGGAGGGCGCGAACAAGTGAAGCGATAGTGCGTTTTTACATAACAGCGAAGACAGGTAGGTTTCTAGTGGTGTCAAAAGAGAGCAGCAGATGACTCCACAGGGGGGTCGGGGCGGGACCCGGGGCGGCTGCCGCCGATGCCCAAATCGCTTGGGACATCTTCGCAAAATCGCTCTTGGCGCTGCTAGAACTCTATTCCCGGCGTGCATTTTGGATGCCCGGAGCCACCTGTAGGCCACTTCGTGGTCTTCGAGTTCCCAGAACTCCATTCCCGGCGTGCATTTTGGATGCCCGGAGCCAGCTGTAGGCCACTTCGTGCTTTTCGATTTCCCAGAACACCATTTCCGGGCCACATTTTGAATGCCCGGAGCCAACTGTAGGCCACTTCGTGCTCTTCGAGTTCCCAGAACACCATTCCCGGGCCACATTTTGAATGCCCGGAGCCAACTGTAAGCCACTTCGTGCTCTTCGAGCTCCCAGAACTCCATTCCCGGGCCGCATTTTGAATGCCCGGAGCCAACTGAGGGTGAAGCAGGCTGCTGCTGAGGCAGGCTGAGGCTGAGGCTGAGGCAGGCTGATGCTGAGGCAGGCTGAGGCTGAGGCTGAGGTTGAGGCTGAGGCTGAGGCTGAGGCAGGCTGAGGCAGACGCTGAGGCAGGCTGATGCTGAGGCAGGCTGAGGCTGAGGCTGAGGCTGATGCAGGCTGAGGCTGAGGCTGAGGCTAAGGTTGAGGCTGAAGGCAGACTGAGGCTGAGGCTGAAGCAGGCTGAGGCTGAGGCTGAGGCAGGCTGAGGCTGAGGCTGAGGCAGGCTGATGCTGAGGCAGGCTGAGGCTGAGGCTGAGGCTGATGCAGGCTGAGGCTGAGGCAGGCTGAGGCTGAGGCCGAGGCTGAAGGCAGACTGAGGCTGAGGCTGAAGCAGGCTGAGGCTGAGGCTGAGGCAGGCTGAGGCTGAGGCTGAGGCTGAGGCTGAGCTGAGGCAGGCAGGCTGAGGCTGATGCAGGCTGAGGCTGAGGCTGATGAGGCTGAGGCTGGCTGAGGCTGAGGCAGGCTGAGGCAGGCTGAGGCAGGCTGAGGCTGAGGCTGAGCAGGCTGAGGCTGAGGCTGGCTGAGGCTGAGGCCGAGGCTGAAGGCAGACTGAGGCTGAGGCTGAAGCAGGCTGAGGCTGAGGCTGAGGCAGGCTGAGGCTGAGGCTGAGGCAGGCTGAGGCTGAGGCTGAGGCAGGCTGAGGCTGAGGCTGAGGCTGAGGCTGAGGCTGAGGCTGATGCAGGCTGAGGCTGAGGCAGGCTGAGGCTGAGGCCGAGGATGAAGGCAGACTGAGGCTGAGGCTGAGGCTGAAGCAGGCTGAGGCTGAGGCTGAGGCAGGCTGAGGCTGATGCTGAGGCAGGCTGATACTGAGGCTGAGGCTGAGGCTGAGGCTGTGACTGTGACTGCCGTTGCCGCTGCGACTGTCATCGCGAATTCGATTGCGACTGCGAGAACAGGAGAATTCTACAACTGGATTCTCATCTGGATCTTAAGGGGAATGTTTCCATATATGCTTCTAGACATCGCTGTTCGGTTGCTTTGCCGGGATAATTTTACCGCGCTTTCTGTCGGTCGCATGGGCCGCTCGAGCCGCGCCCGGGCCCCCGGCGATTTTTTTTTTTGGGCCCCCAGCAGTGGTTATTGCTTGCGGCGCGCAACCGGCAACCGCCGCCCGCGCCCGCCGACGACCCAGGGACGGGACCGAGCAGGCAGGGAGGGGGGCGGGGCGGGGGGGGCGGCGCAGGGGGCATGCGAAAAGAAAGGAGGCAGGGTGATGAGAGGAGCAGACGGTGACGCGACGACTTGCGCATGCTTTCTGGGTGCGTGTGCTGTGCGCGGCCTCGGACAGAGTCGCGGCGACCGGCCCGGCGCGCCTGCTCGGAACGCAAGCGCGCGGCGGAACAAAAAGGTCATGCGCTGGGAACGGCCCGGCAGGGGCTCCGCTGGCAAGCGCGTGAATTGAATCCCGCGCCCCAGACAAAGGCGTTGCGGCAACCAAGATCGCGCGCAGAACAATCTGTGCACCCAGGGCAACGGCCATTGACCGGCGCCGGGCGCCGATCAAGTCGATTCTTGGATGAGTTCGGCGGCTGCCTGAAGAAAGGCGCATTATAACTGGAACCCAACCCAGTTCGTTGTGGTGTGCAACCCATTTCGTTGTGGTGTGCAACCCACTTCGGAGTGCGTACAAGTACTTAGCCCCTTGCGACCCACATGCTTCCTTTGGGCCAGACTTGCTAACTTCTATAACTGGTTGCAGCAGGGGAAAGTGGATAGCTTTCTTTTCTAGGCGCCCAAGTTAAGTACTTGCATGTACATCACACGTACTTAACTTCAGACCAAGTTGACTTAACAAGTACTTGCTAAGTGTTTGCGTTGACTTATAACAAGCACGTCACGACAAATCCACGTTGTTTGACATAAAACCACCTGTTGCAACCTAAAACCTCAAACGCAAGTTCGTAAAACATTCGGAATCCCAAACTCCGCACGCGCGATGATTGTGATGATGGGGGCGATGACGATGATGAGGACGGTGGCGAGATTGCATATTATGTATGATTTTGTGTGTATGTGGAATTGTTATATAGTGTATATTATGTATTATATGTATGATGATGACGGTGACGAGATTGCATATTGTGTGTGCTGATGACGTTGACGAGATTGCATATTACATTGGTGTATGATGATGACGGTGACGAGATTGCATATTATGTATGCTTGTGCTTTTGCGTGTATAGTGTGTATGTATATTTTTGCGTGTATATTGGTTTTGGAATTGCAGGTCGACTTTGCGCGCGCGCGCGTGACCATGGTCACCCGCGCGCGGGTGACGCGTGTCACCTCTCTCCTAGGGCCTTACAGAAGTTTCAAATTCAGTTTTTGGAATTACATGTCGACTTTTCTATTGTGGACATTACAGATCTCCCCAGCGCGCGCCGCCGCGCGCGCGGGTGACCCACCCATCGCGTGGGTCACCTCGGCCTCCCTTGAGGCCTCACAAAAATCTCAAAGTCAGTTGTTGAAGTTACATGTCGACATTTCTCTTGTGCACACTATAGAACTCCACAGCGCGCGCCGCCGCGCGCGCGGCGGCGCGCGCGCGCGCGGGCGACCCGCCCATCGCGTGGGTCACCTCGGCCTCCTTTGAGTCCACACAGAATTTCAAATTCATTTTAAAACAAAACAAAATTAATTCAAAAACATGCATGTATACTTTTCTCGGCAATATCGAACTTCGCAGCGCGCGCGAGCGCGCGCGGGGTGACGGTGCACGAGTGCGCGTGCGCGTGCGTATTTGCGCGCGTGCGCGCGTGCGTGTGCGTGCTCGCGCGTGCGACGGGCGGGTGCATAATTCTCGTGTGATTGCGCGCGCGCGCGTGCGCGCGCGCGCGTGCCCGCGCTGGTTCCTCATCGCGCCAGGGGGCGCGGCGGCAGATATGATTGCGCCAGGTGCAATTTGGCGGATTTGGGGAATGTCTTGGGCATCTTGGGGCCATCATAGGCTGTCTTGGGGCTACCGCAACCCTAACGCCATAACCCTAAACCGAACACCCTTGCCCTACACCAAAACCCGAACACCAAAACCATGAACCTATCCGAGCCCGAACACCCTATCCTCAACCGCCGCCCTCAAGACGGCTTCAATAAACGCCCCCACCAAGGCGCGCCCCTGCTCTATAAGGCCTAGCACGGGGGCTCTGACCATGGGCTTATATGGGGCCTCCAGGAGTTAGCCTTCGGGGCCTCATGATATTTGGATGTCGGGACCTTCTGCTGGAATGCGTGCAGCGCGCAAAGTTTATATGTAGGGTCTCAGGGTGCAGTGGCTCAGGGCAAGTCAGGGCAGCATGGTCACATGGCTTTGGGTTCCTTGGGGGCTCCAGGGTTTCAGGGTCTATGGCCTCGGGGCCCCAGGGTCTGAAAGGTCGCATGGCCGCATTGGGGTCCAGGGCCTTCGACGACGACGGCGTCGACGACACGTATGACTGTGCGCATTGGATGCCGCGGGGCCCTGAGGTTGGCGTCCTGAAGCCCGCGCGGCATTCAGCATTCGCGCCCTCGTTGGTTCCTCGTTTCCACCTGCCGATGCCTTCCCGCCCCGTGCTGCCGCCGCCGTTTTGGCCCGTGCCGCGATACGTTTCTCGCACGCTGCAGCGCTTTGCGCTATCATATTTTGGCGGCCGACTACCACCGCACATCAGCGATATACGCTTTCTTAGTTGGACGCCATGGCGCCCAAGGCACACCACAAAAGGGGCTACGACGATGTGGTCAAGGAAAATGCAGAGCTGAAAAAAACCATGAAAAAGATGAAGGAGAAACTGGCAGACAATGCAGAGCTGAAGAAAACCATCAAAAAGATGAAGGCGGAAATGACAGACAAGGATTCCGCTCTCGACTGGTGCAAGCATGGCCTCGGCAACCTGAAGCTCGGCCTGGAGTATCGCAGGATGGGGATCGCGGGTGCGAAGCAGCTGCGGCACGTGCGGATACAGCCCCAGGCAAGCATTCGCAACCCCCCTGACCCGCGAATCGGTTCGATGCTGCAGGTCGCCGCAGCCGAGAGCGCATCCTCTTTTGCCAGGCACGCGATGCACGCGGCAGAGCGCGCCGCGGGAACACAAGCGGCCCGCGCCACGGTCGCTGCGTGCACAGCTTCGGCAGCGGCAGCGGCAGCGGCAGCCGCGGCGGCCAACGCAGCCCCGCAGCCCATCCCAGCGGACTACGTCCCGCCCCACCAGAGGTAGGCGACGGAGTCCCATAGTCTCAGTCTCAGTGTTTCGCGGCAGTTTGCAGTTAGATTGCAGTCGCAGTCGCAGTGCGCCGCGGCAGTTTGCAGTTATATATATATATATATATATATATATATATATATATTGCAGTCGCCGCTTCGGTATATTGCGCTGCTGGCGGAGTTGACCGCAGCGCCTCGCCCAACGACCGATGCGCATTGCAGCTCGCGCTGCAATGAGAAAACCACCCCCTGGTTTTAGCACCCCCATCGCCCCTTCGCAGTTTCAGACTACGACGACGACGACGACGACGACGACGACGACGACGACGGCGACGAACCGCCCCGAATGCCGCTGGCATTCACCCCTTGGAGGTCCCAGCAGGGATTCGTCTGCGCATGATTGCCTCAGGGCCCTCATGGGCTCAATGGGGCATCGGGGCCGTCGTCGGCCCAATGTGGCCGCGCACCCCCGCGGCATCCTGGGGCAACCGTTGGTGCGGGGCGTGTCGGGGCATCCTTCGATTTCGGGGGTGGGGAGGGGAAAGGGGACCTGAGGCCAAACGATGTCGGGGTCTGGCGGTGCCGACGCAGCTGTGACTGCACTGCGTCTGAAGCCACATTCCCCAAACACTGCTTGCGCGTATATGGCTGCTGATTTGTGAGTTGCAGTGTGGCGGCTCCGTGCTCGCCGTCGCCGCCCCGCGCGTCGCCGCCCGTGGTCTGGGCCTGCGTGGCGATCTGGGGGATCCGTGCCCGCCGCCTTCGCCTCGCCGCCGCATCACTTACACCACGTAGATGGCAACGCATAGATGGCATCGCATAGCTTACGCTATACATATTGCACCACGCAGGTTGCACTACATAGGTTGCACCTCATCGATCGCACCGCATACGCCGCACCGCATATATTGCAGAACATAGTTTTTACACCACATGTCCTACCTCACATCGATTGCACCAAGTAGATTGCGCCACATCGGCGGCACCATATACATTGCACCACGCGTGACACCACATTGGTTGCATCACATCGATTGTGCCGCATAGGTGACACCACGCATATTGCACTACATAGGGTGCACCACATTCCGCACACCACATAGATATCACTACATATGGTGCAATATGCCACTGTTTGGGGTCCACGATGGCTAACATGAGCCACACTGTCGCATACCAGGGGTTCACCGTAGCCAATGTGGCCCAAGTAGCGCTTCGACGCTGAGCATACAGCGGTATACATCGCTTTGGTTTGTTCGTTTTGTTTCTTTGTCAGCATTCATGGCGGGCGTGTTATCCACGCATACCAAACAACGCCTCGACGAGCTCATAGCGAGAGGGCTGCAGTCCAGCACCGACGGCGTCAACGCGATTTTCTTGGATACAATCGAGATTCTCAAGGGAGAGCACCTCATCAGGCTTGTGAGGAATGAGAACGCTGCGAAGTTCTTCGCGCACCCGAGGAACAGGTTCGGCCTCGGGCTCAGCCCGCACCAGGCCCATCGGGCTGGCGCGAAGATATGCGGCATCGGTGCAGATAAGGCTGCATTGACCAATGCCTTCGCCATCGGGATGCAGGTGGAAGGCCCGATGCGACAGGCAGCGGTGGACTTCAACCGCAGCGTCATCACGCGGAGCAACGGCATGCTTGCTCAACCCACGGGGCAGGAAATGTACCTCGCGGTCGGGCGCGGCCATACGGTGGCATTCTGCAGGGCGGCCCAAGCTGGATGCAGCACGCCCAATGAGAAAATCAAGGACGGCAGCGGCACCATCGACATTCAGAAATTGTTCAAAGACAAGGTTTTCAAGTCCATGATCCAAGACGGGTGGGACTGGTGGATCATATCCGCGGTCGTGGACAGGGAATGCCCTCGGCACGCCGATCTCGCGCAGAAGGCACTCAATGCAAACAACCACGTGGCGTCCCTCATCGGGGAGGTGGAGGCCGCGCAGATGATGGCGGAGTATCTGAAGGACGGGGACCAGGCAGACGATAACCTGGAGGAGATGGCGCAGGAGTCCGTGCGATCCATGGGGTGTCCGTGTTCCCCCTACGTGGACAGCATCATTAAGTTCGTTCGGATTTACGCTGGAGGGATTGGCGCCCCCCACATCCAGTTCATCGACAAGGTTGCCAAGCAGTTCCACGCCACTGGAGTCTTGGGTAGAGGTTGCCGGAGGGACAACCCACGACGACGACGACGACGACGACGACGACGACGACGACAACGACGACGACGACGACGACGAGGTTTCTGGAAGGCTGTGGCAGAGGTCACGTTCTACGACAGCAGTGGGCAGTACCCCCTCATCAGGAACGCGATGGTGCTGGCCAACCTCACATCGAACACCAGGGAGGACGGAATCGCAAAGCTCTTGTCGAGGACCGACGTGGTGAAGGTCGCGTCCAAGGCCAAGGCGGAGACAGCAGCTGAGTGCGAAGCAACCCTCAGGGCCGCTGCAATCATCGTCAAATTCTTGAGGGGCGGCGGGAAGATCAAGCCAGACGACGAGTTGGGCCCCCTTGGTCGCATATGGGTTCGCGTGGCGCTGTACGCCACCGACAAGGGGAACAAGGGCGACGAAGCAAGACCGATGGAGTTGCCCGACATCCAGTCGCAGTTCCTCGATGAGCTCTCCGCGGCCGTCGGGGCGGAGGTCACGTGCGACTCATGGGAGTCCGCCTGGAAAAAGACTGGCTACTCTAAGAATGCGGAGGACGCCGGCGCCAGTGCAGCGCCGTGCAAAAAGCCAAAGGTCGTTGCAGATATGCAGGACCACGAGGACCCTGCCTGGATCTGCTCGCAGAAGGGGATCTTCCAGGGATGCATCGTGATCAAGAAGGACGCCGCGGGGGACCCTGAGGGCCTTCACAAGCTAGTTGGGTTCGCCGATGGGGTCCAGCTGCAGCAGTTGTTGAGTTACGTGGGTGCGCAGAACGGGATCGCGTTTTCGATCGCAGTGAAGGGGTTTATGGATAAGTGGACCCTGTACAACGGGACTGCGCTGCCCAAGCACTGGGTTGACGGCGAGAGCCCGACGGCCTGCCCAGGCACCGTGTATGCATGGGGTACCGATTGGACTAAGGCGGGGCTGTTCATCGCCATCCACGAGATATACGAGGCCCATGATGACTTGAAGTTTTTCAGATGCCCCGACGTGGTCATGACCAAGAGGGAGTTCAAGAAGGGCGCCCTCGTCCTGGCTCCGATGGTGCCGCTGTCCAACATCTCCCTCAAGAAGACCGCGGGGGCATGGGGCCTCGGCAAGCACAACGCGGGCAAGCAAGAGTTCTTCGCGACCAAGCCCGTCAGGCAGCCTGCCACGGCGGAGATCGACGCCTCGTACGGCATAAGCGCCTTCTGGTGGGTGAAGACATCAGGGGATACCAAGGCCGTCAACATGCACACCAAGATCATGGACCACCTCGGCGTGTCAATCCCGTGCTTGTGCAACACCACGAGGGCGATCAAGGCTCACGAGACGTTGGTATGCTTCAAGAAGTGAGGCGCGCGTGCTATGTGAGCAGCGCGTGGCACTCTCGCGCAGTGCCGATGCATGCCGCCATTCCCGCCAATGCATCGCGCATTGAATGACTGTTCCGGGTACAGCGCACTGCGCTATAGTGAACACACCACCGCCGCCCTCCCATCCCCAACCTCCTCATCCTCCAAATCCTCATCCTCAGTTGGTATCGGGTCCGTATCGGATGCCCTCTCAGGGCGGCCCTGGGCCGCGCGTATTGGAGCCCAGCTCGCTCTCGGGCTCCCTGAATCTAGATTGGCGCCATTTTAGGTCAAACGCATCATAAGGATGCACCCCGATAAGCTAACATCATTCAACGCACTGTGCCAACGTTGTTGTTGATCAAGGGATGGGGGCCCATAATTGGCATCGTCCCTTCTGTGGCCCAAACGCATCGCCTCGTGGGGGCATCTCCTATTGGAGCGTTCATGGTGTCATCTTGGGGTCATCTTATATGCCCCTACTGGGGCCGCATCGCCATCGCAACCCACACCGCCATCACCATTATAGCCGTGTCGGCTCAGGGCGCCGCGGTGCCCATATATAGCGCCAGCGCTGAGTTAGTTTCTATATGTCAGCCGCAATGGCTAGCAACGCGGGGTGCAAGCACATACACATGAGAACGGTTGACGTCGGGAAGGCCGACGGTAAGCCACTCACAGTGAGGTTCCCTGGCGAGGACGTGACCACCATGAGCAACGGCGTGATATTCGCGAAGATCAACGCTCGCAACCGAAGCCTGCAACGCGCCGTGCGGAAACTCGGCTCGCATGGCGACCCACCAGAGGAATCGCTGGTGGTTTCCACCAGCGTGGCTTTGAGGGACATCAGCAAGAAGCGGAACGTGAAGCAAGCTGAGGCGCTGCTTGCCGACGAGTCGCCGAGGTGCCAGCTGTTCGCCGATGCCACGCCCGAGAAGGGCAAGGCACCGCCAGGCCGACGCAAGCGTCGCAACGCACCCGCCGCCATCCGCGTCAGCCACAGCAAAGCCCGCACCATGCGCGGCAATCCCGACACCATCACCGTCGATGTCGACGATCAGGTCATCGCCGTGTTGCGCTGCGCGCACCCGCGCGATCAGTTGAGCGTCGCGTGCGACATGCTCCCCGCGGTCGTAGGCATCATGGCCGCGTCCTCGTGGGGCGACCCCTGCATTCAGCGGGACCTCTCGTTGCCGAAAGGCGTGTGGAAGCATAACGGGAAGTTCTACATCATGACTAACGGCGCCAAGAGGCGTAAGTTCTTTGCCACGGCCGAGGATGCAGTGGCTGCCTTAGCTGATGCATCGAGTCATGATAGCGCACATGGCGCTGAACCTGATAGCGCACATGGCGATGATGCCATTTGATCCGCGCTGGCGACGTTTATACTACCCAAGCTTACGCTTTATCGCCCAGCGCACTGGGGAGGCACATCCACGGGCGAACGCCCGATACATGGATATCCGCCGCGCGGGGTGCGTTTTGTGTTGAAGGGGAGCGTGTTGGCGGTCAGGGCATGGCGCAGCCACCAAAACAACATCGCCACCATCACCATCGCGACGTCGCGCCACCACCTCCCGTCGTCGCCGTCGTCGTCGTCGTCGTCGTCGCCGTCGCCGTCGTCGTCGTCGTCGTCGTCGTCGTCGTCGTCGTCGCCGTAGCTCCTCGATCCTCGATCCTCGGACTTCCAACCCCATCCTGCCCTCCTGCTCGCCATCCTCAATTCCTCTCGGGCATCCCCGTTGGGTCATCAATCTCCCCCTCGCCGTCTTCCCCATCGAGCTCGCCCTCCGCATGCCCGTCCACTCCGTCTGAGCATCGAGACATCGATGGGCGGGAACGCGGATGGGGCGGGGTAGCGCCTCCGGTGTATGATGCATTTCATGTAAGATCGAGCGCGGAGGGAATGTTAACGTCACACATCTCTGAAGAGGGCCCCAAGGAGGCCCCAGCACGAGGGCCCCAATATGTCTCCAAGAGAGCCCCGATAGTGCCCTCAGTAGCTCTTGTCCGCAGATTTCTGTATCAGAGCCTGTCGGGGCGTTACCGAATGCCCCAAGCGGGCCGCAAGATGGCATAATATGGCCCCGACCAGTTTCAAAGAGGGCCCCGAGAGGGCCCCGACGGCCGCTGGTCCGACAAATCCTGCACCGAAGCTCCCCGCATTGATAGTATGGTGGGCACGAGCTGGATGACGGGCGCCGCATGTAGCCCTGAGGGTCCGCGCGGAGTTCTGGGATCGGCGCTGGACCATTGGTTTCTTATGGTAGCTTGGTTTCTTATGATAGCTGGGCTTCTCATGGTAGTTTGGTTCCTTATGGTAGCTTGGTTTCTTATGGTAGATCGGCTTATCATGGTAGTTTGGTTTCTTATGGTAGCTTGGACTCTCATGGTAGCATAGCGTATCATAGCACTTTCATAGCATGGCACCTCATCGCATCTAGCATTGAGCATTCGCATTAGCCATGTTGGGCTTGTGGGGCCTGCGAGACCACATTCGCCCAGAAGGCTCGTGGGATTCATCCCCGAGGTGTAAGACCACGTGCGCCCCGAGGGCATGGTGGACCTCCCTCTCATCCTACATAACCGTTTCGGGCTCGATCGACAGCGTCGGGCGTTGTGCGTGCGAGGTGCGAGTCCCGAGTGCAGACATACCCGCAAGTGGCATGGCGAGCGGTGCCAGCCCGTCGGCGCACCCGCCGCGGTCGCGCCAGCAGTGGCCCACGGAGTCGCCCGCGGCGCCTAACATCAGCGCGAGGGCGGCGGGGCCGCACCCGCCAGATTCGATCCCCCCGCACATGAAGAAATCGAAGACCGAGGTTGACGCGCTGGAGTCTGCGCGCGGGCAGTTCGACATCCGTTTCTGCGACGCCATGGCAGTCAGCATCGCGAACGAGGCAGTCACCAATGCCGTGGCGTACAATGGCCCAGAGCTGTGGCTTACGATGGAGAAGCTGCCAGGCACCTATTAGATGGTCGGTTCGGACTCGGCAGGCTTCAGCGTGTACCGGCAGGAGCCCAGCAACGGAATCAACTCGAATCAGCTGTTCTTGTTCTACAAGACGGCGACGCACGAGGAGGGCTGGTACATCGCCGACGCGCTGCAGTACGACGCGGGGCCTGAGCATATCTACGCGTGGTGCAAGACGGTCGGCCCAGGCCAGGTCACGCTTCATGTCCCTTTCTGGGCCAAGAAGGGATGGCTCGGCCTCGTGGTCGAGCCCCACCACAGCTGGGCGCGCGCCCGCGCCGACGCGCGGATAGCGGCCAAGGGCACTGAGACCAATGCGCTCGAGGCGCTGAGGAGCTCAACCGCCTCGCTGACGCACGCGTTGCTGCCGATAGCGCGGCGTCCGATGAGGCCACTAAGGGCGGCAAGTGCAGCACCAACCAGGGCGGCAAGGGCGGCAAGACCACCGCGGGATGGGGGAACCGTTGCATCAAGCTCATCTTGGCAATCAGGGCCTACGAGTGGGATGCGGCCATGAGCCTTGCCAGCGAGTGGGCAGATATCAAATGGATTCGGCCAATCATCGAGATGCGGGAGCAGCAGGCCCACGCGAGGTCGCATCGCAAGGCTGCCAAGGTTGACGATGCCAAGGTTGACGATGATGAGGATGATGAGTACTGAGAGGATGACGGACGCCACTGGTAGGCCCGCCGCCTAGCAGCGCTGTTGGATAGCGACACCAGCGCGCTGCGCTATAGGCTAGGTGTGAGTGGGATGTGACGACGACGACGGCGACGGCGACGGCGACGACGACGACGACGACGACGACGACGACGACGACGACGACGACGACGGCGACGACGACGACGACGACGAGGGGTGAGGGTGGTCTAGGTACGTGCAGGCTGCCTAGTTACCACCGCCAGCTTGTATGTTGGAGTAGTCGGTGGCGCAATGCGCGCAGCACTATGTAATACAGGCTTGATCTGAGTCCGCCCGCATTGCTCGGCAAAAACACGTTGTCCATTCCAAAGGCCTTCGGCCCATCCCGCCACCTTGTTTGGGCCAGAGTCCAGATGCACGTGCGGTGCAACGATGGCACCACGTGGTGCCGTGATGGCTCCTGGGGGGCTCGTCGAGGCGTCTAGTGACCTTATTGGGGGCTCTTTCGGGGGCCTCAGGCAGGCCATCGGGGCCATCATGGGGCGGCCATCGGGGCCATCATGGGGCATGCCCTCGGGGCCATCACGCCCCCTCTTGGGGGGACTCTCAGGACATGAGTGGGTCGCATGGGTAAGCGCCTCGTGGACCATATGGTGGCGCTCTGGGGCTGCAATGGGACACTCTTGGGGGAGACTCATGCGCGCTCTGGGGCTGCCATGGGACACTCTTGGCGGAAGCTGATGCTCACTTGACTGCTCAATGAGCAGTCAAGTGAGCAACCCCATCTCGACTGGAAGGTTACGGGCCCTGCCAAGTTCCCAACCCCATCATCGCGATCGCCCATTATCTACTCAGGTATGTGATGGCTGCCGCCGCCGACCCCCCCCCCCTCGTCGCCCCCTCGCCCGCCCCTCGTCAGTGCGGGCCCGCAGACATCATGGGGGTTGAGCACCTGGCGCCACGCCGTCCTTGGGCCACTCTCGCCCTCTCTCGCCGAGTAACCCCATCCCTCGATTTCCTCCGTTCGCCTTCCAACCTCACCGCGCCCATGGCATGTCACATGGCCCACCGCCGTTCCCTGGATCGTATCGCACATCGCGAGAATGCCCGGAGATTTCGGCATTTCGTGATTTCTGTTCTCGCCAGTTGGGGGATTTGGGCCCGTTGCACTCCCTACTCGTTGCCGTTTTGGCTCGCGCAGTTCTCAGTGGGAGCCCATCAGGCTATAGCGCATCTGCGCTGAGGGGGCGCGCGCTCCCGATCCGCCATGAACGCCGTGGGCGTTGTCGCGAGCATCGCTGACGCGCATGCCTTCATGACCGCTCGTGGCGCCAGTGTCACCCCGTCGCTAGTGGACAACCTGGCGACGCAGATTGCGGTGAAGATCGCCAGTCTCGCCACATTTACCGTCGGGGACGCCACCGCCATCACTGACGCTATCAAGGGGTCGCCGTTTGGCGAGAAAGCGCAGATGATATCTGAGGCAGTGGGTGCTCGCTTGGTAACCGCTTCATCCAGCACAACGGAGAGGACGACGTGCAGAACCCAACGCCTATACACTTTCAACCTTTACGCCACCCAGGCCGACTGGGACGTCTTCCGCAACCCCGAGCTCACCTTGCACGTCAAGATGGAGCAGGCGGCGGTCAGGCTGAATCGGCTCGGGTGTTGCAACCCCGACCCCCAGACGAGCAAGAGGGTGGTGGCGCTGCTCGTCCTCAGTCATTTCGCTCAGACGCCATGCCACAAGGAGCTCAACAAGTTTGTCTGGGACTTCAAGGCCGTCTGCAAGGCGAACCGCAAGCCCTACCCGTTCGCGCAGCTTCGCACGTACCCCGATTCGCCCATGGATCTCCCGAAGGCCATGCAGGATCTGGCATGGACCCCCGACGACCCCCCAGTCCACGTGGATGTAAGGGGCTTTAGCGACCTCGTCCAGAACCACATCGCACTTCGCCAGAACAACCGCCTGATCAAAACGCAGGCCAAGAAGGGCGACGATGCACTCGTCACGTGGGATGCCATGCGGGAGCTCCTGAACGGCACCGAGCGGCCGAGCATTCGGTTCTCGGATCACGGCGGTCACCCCGCCCCCGCGTACGGCCTCCAGGCGCGCCAGCAGCTTGCGCTTGAGGACCAGCCAGCCGCATCCGAAAATCGGATCGTGATTCGTGGGAGCAGCGGCGTCGCACCGACGCCACCGAGCGCGCTCATGAGCATCTCTGGGGCCGCAGTCCGCAAGCGCGACTGTGGCGGGGGCGCGCCAGGTGGAGACGCCGAGCCTGCTGAGGGTGGCGTTGGCGAGGCCAAGGGCGTGGATGATGACGGGGACGATGAATCGCCCCGTCCAGCGAGGAAGAGGCCCGCTGCCGCTGTGGCCGCCGATGCCGATGCGGCAGGCTTGTCCAAGTTCGAGCAGGCGGCCCTCAAAGCGCTACAGGCGCGCGAGGACAAGAAGAAGGCCGAGGAAGCCAAGGAGAAGGCGGCAGAGAAAGCCTTGAAGGCGAAGACGGAGCAGGCGGCGGGTAAGGGCACCAAGATGAAGCGCCCCGCAGCAGCCTGCACCGCACACGCACACGCAACCGTGACGATGACGTCACCCGTCCCCAAGCCGAGGGCAGGCGGCCATGCACCTCCCCCGAGTGAGTACAAAGGCGGCAGGGTGTACTACTCGACCTCGAAGGGCGGCTTCAGGGTCATCAGGGACGCGTCGAACATGTCCACGGAGCGGTTCGTTAAGTTGAGGGGAGCACCCCTTCGAAGGATGAGTGGGTGACGGCGCTTCGCCTCATCGACGCCTTCCGCCGCATGTAGTATCAGCGACGCCAGGTCGCTATTTATACACCCTCATAAAGAGGTTGTGCATGTGCTGTCGCGCGGCAGGTTGCGTGGGATGTGATTGCAATCAGGCAGCGGTGGCTCTGTGAACCGACGCAGAGCAGCAATACAACATCATGCATTACGTCGGGTCGTTGATGTAATTAGTCCACAATGTGATCCGATGTGTAAGTTTTGAGTGGGTTGTCCGTCACGAGTGGTCTAGTTAGGGCGCCCCCCCCCCATTGGGGGTATACCGCAGCCTTGGAAGGGACACACATAAGCCAATGCGAGTGCCCTTTGCCCCCCCCTTTCTTGGGAATACCCCAGAACCCCCGCGCCGTCGAACAAACCTAACTCATGCTTCTCGAGGCCCGCGCGTGGTCGGCGGACGCATGCGCTATAGCCGAGCTTCGAACAAGCACGCACCACCCACCGCACATATACAACCACGCAGCACCAAACACACGCAGGTTAGGTCCTCGTTTTGATCCCGCAGCGCCATGCGCTCCCTGCGCATTCGTCCTTCGTCTGGGCCTTCCTTGTTTTGAACCCGCTGTGCGCGTTCGGCCTTTGTTGTGAATCTGTTAACCTGCAGCGTGCATGTGGGTCGTCGTGTTGAATCCGCAGCGGCACATGCCCTATGATGCTTAGCATGGGTCCTCGCTGGCCCTCGTTTGTTGAATGCACAGCGCCGCGCGTCTCCGCCCCCGCTTCGGGGCGTGGTAAGGACACGGAACACGATGATGGTGAGTATGATTATAGGGCCGATGAGGAGGATGGGGGTCCTCGGCCACTCAGTGGATCCAGCCGTGGCGACGATGACGTCCATTTGGGCCCAAGCCGTTGTGGCACACACAGGTTGTGCTTTTTCGTTCGTGGAGGGCGGCGGCATGGCCGCCTACCTGTTCACGGAGACCGAGATGACGTGCCCGCAGTCAGTGATGTTCGAGGACGGGACGTGGACCGATGCGCCGTACATGGAGTGGAGCCGCACCGACCAGTTCTGGCGGTGCTTTATGTGTTCGAATGCAGGGAACCGAGTGACAGCGGACCATTTGACGGGGAACAGGCATCTTAGCAGGACCCAGGGCCAGTGGAACCAGCTGGGCCAATTTACGCGCGGACAGCAGCAGATCGCACGAGTTCACACGGACTACAACTACCAGCAGAGTGCAGTGCAGAATCAGCCAGCGTTGCCAGCGCCAGGACTTCAACCGCCACAACCAGCGGGGGCACCGCCAGCACCAGCGGCGGCACCGCCAGCACCAGCGGCGGCAGCGCAGCACACGCAGACCATCACCGACGCGCTGGAGCAGCACACGCAGACCATCACCGACGCGATGGAGCAGGTCATGGAGATGAAGACCGACCACATCGAGCGCATCGAGAGGAAGTTCGATGACATCTTGGAGCGCCTGCAGCTCGTGGTCGACCGCTTGCAGCTCGTGTCCGACCGCCTCGCGGAGACGAACCAGCTGCTCGGCGCGGCGCAGCCGCGCGGGGCCGTGCAGGCCGTGGGGGCCATGCAGGGGGCTGATGCCCCGCCGCGGGCGCACCAGTAGACGTACGGCGTATCGGATGATGCATCGCGCCATCCATCGGTCGACGATGGCGACGCCGACGCCGACGCCGACGCCGACGACGACGACGACGACGACGACGACGACGACGACGAGGACGACGACGACGACGACGGTGGCGGCGGCGGCGACGACGACGACGACGGCGGCGACGACGACGACGACGACGACGACACGGTTGCATGTATCGGGCGATGCATCCGCAATGCTTGAATAATTGCTAGCGCGGCTCGCTTTTTACGCGTCAGTGGCGTGCTGCAGCAGCGCCGCCGCGACGACGTGCCGGCTCGCATCGGCGCTCTTGGCCAATAGGCACGAATTCTCGACCGACACGATTGGCTGAACCATGTATCCCCTCTTCTGGCGCCCCAGGATATGTGTGTAGTTGGTGCATATACATGGCCGTATACGGCATGCCAGGATCACATGGTGGTAGGAGTCTCAGGGTCTTAGGGGTTCCAGTTCTGAAACCCGTGTGGGTCGCATTGTGCAAGATATTTGGCGGGCTGTTAAGACGAATGTGGTCGGCGCTAAAGCGAGAGTCGCATTCGCATAATGCTTACACTCATGCTAATTTAAAGCGGTGAAGCCCTGATGCACTGAAGCTTATAAAACAACCCCATACCCTTACCATATGGGCAATCTTGGAACCATAATGGAGACGCATTGGGGCCCTCTTGGCCCAAGGTGGCCAGGCGACTGATCCATGCGGGCCCCCATGGCCCCGATGGAGCGTGGGCGGGGCATCGAGGGTTCAACGCCTTTTGGGGCGTAGTTTGCTCTGCATAGCCGTTTTGGCTCAATGTAGTTGCTTCGCTCTGGTATGGCAGAGCCGAGGGAAGCCAAGCTGCGAAAGTTAGATGCGTTCAGGCGGCGGTTGCCCCACTTGAGCGCCAGCGCGCTGAGCCAGCTACTGACAGAACTTGTTCGGGACGCCGCAATTGTCCCCGAGCTCTACGCGCGCACTGCAATTCGGCAAGCCCGCGATGTGGTCAACAACGAGCCCACTCCGTTTGGACCCATTCACCGATCGGTTAACGTTCACGCTGTTGGGGGTGGGTGTTCTAAGATCAATGTCGTGCATCCGCTTGCGTTGCTCTGGAAGGCTCTCACGCTGAGCCAAGAATTCAGTGAGTTTGTCAGGCGAAGGTTCGACGCCGCCCCCTCAACCCCAGAGCGGCCTTGGAGTGTTATTTTAAATTCTGACGAGGTCACGCCTGGCAATCCTTTATCCACCAGCAACGAGCGGAAGCTCCAGGTCATATATTTCAGTTTCGCTGAATTCGGTGCGAACGCCCTCAGTCACGAGGAGGCGTGGTTCACCATCATGGCCGAGCGGAGCGTACATATCAAGAAGGTGTGCGCGGGCATGTCGCAAGCATTCTCCGCCATTATCGGCTCGCTCTTTGACGGTAGCGGCACTAACATGCGCACGGGCGGTGCGGAATTGCCACTACACGGCGGCAACGCTCGCATTTTCGCAAAGCTTGGGGCCGTGGTTCAAGACGGTGGCGCCCACAAGCTGACGTGGCATTCCCGTGGGGATGGGGCTCTGCGACTGTGCCTTTTATGCCATCACCTGTTTACTGACAAATCGAAGGTGTGCGACGAAGATGGAACGCACCTATTGCGCTGCAATGTCATGCGTCATGAAGACTTGGCGCTGGCCACGGGAGACCAGGTTCGGCGCGCGGCACGTTTCCTCGAGGCGAACGCTGCAGTGAGGTCGAAACCAGAGTTGACTCATCTGGAGATGGCATTGGGCATGACGCACCATCCGCACGCATTGCTACTCAATCGTGCACTCGACGAGTACGTCGACCCATGCGAGGCGTTCGTGCAAGACTGGATGCACGGTCTTTTTGTTGACGGCGTGTATAATGTGACTGTATATCTGCTGCTGGAGGAGTGTATCACTAATGGCAGAAAGGACATTTACGCCATGGTTGGGGGATGTATTGCATCATGGTATTTTCCAGGCCGCATTGGCCATAAGTCATCATCCAGGCATTTCGCGGATATATTCTCAAGTGACAAGAAAGACAAACACAGGAACGCGGCCCACATCAAGTGCCAGGCAAGCGAGCTTCTTTCCATATCAGGCGTGCTAGCTCTTTTCGTGCAGCGGGTGTTGCTGAAGTCGAACACCTGCAACGATGCCTGTGTAGCGTTTCTTGCGTTGTCCGACGTCGTGGATTTCGTCAGGTCCGCGAACAGGGGGACTGTCACGTCAGATGTGTTGGCCGGTGCGGTTCGGACTTTCCTAGCGCGTTTTACTTCTGTCTGGGGTTTTGAATGGCTCACGCCGAAGTTCTCAGCGCTTCGCGCATTCTTGGCACCCCGTGGTCAAGTCATGGGTCCGAGTTGCTAGGAGTGGCGCGTGCACGCGCCCATGCCGCATGACATGCATCGACGCGTCGATTACTTGTCATTGCGATGGGGTTGTACATGCATGTAAATGTATCTACATATCGGGACGGATGATGAAGAGCGGAACGCCTTTGAGGCAGGCGCCGATGCAAGGACATCGTCGGTGACACGCTTGAAACCACAACGTTTTATGTGCTAGTGCAGTATTGCATTGTGTTTGGAAAAAAAAAATGGTCGGTGTCTTTTTGGTTGCCCAATGTCAACATGCGTGCGTTGAGGTCCCATGCACCCCATGAGGGCCCCAAGTTCCAGGTGCCACCGATGCAGCTTTACAGGAGGGGGCCTGCGGGGCCTCAACGGATGCCAGAGGGCTTTCCAGATGACTTGAGGGGCCCTCGGTCGCCCCAGAACCCTTGCAGGGAATATCGCGAGCAATCCATTTTCATGCGCTACATGCCCCATCGAGGGCTGGTTTGATTTCATTGGATGCTTCATTACAGCAGCACCCTCCATACATATGGCATGCTGTTCAATTGCTATGTACACGAGCGTTTCCACCGCGTTGCCAAGAGGTGCGCGACCGATACGAAAAATCCAGACAAAGAGATGAGAGGCATCATATATGAGGTGACAGCCCATAAGCTGACATCGCTTGTAGGCACGGGTGCGTTCAATTTTGATGTTGGCTTGGTGAACCCAGTGGCCGTCAGCAGGCGCAAAGCAGCATTGGTGAAAGAATTTCTGGGGTTTGTCCCCAGAGGGTTGTCCGAATCGATCACCAGTCGTTTCAGTGAGTTCGGCACTTGCGATCAGCATGACTTTGTGTTGGTCGCAGAAGACGGCGGTTCGTTTAGCGTTGCACAGGTGAAGATGCATTTAAACATTGACGACGCTCATCGCGTGTTGGAAGCTCGAGGCCGCGTTTGGCGGCGAGGGCTATAGCATATGGTCAAATGCGGATCGAGCAGATTTGATCAGCACCAGCCTTATCATCGATGTCGTGCCTTACACGTTGTTTGATAACGGGTCCATCGGCGTTTTGGTACCGTGCGAGCTCCGCTGAGAAAACCACAAACAAAATAAGTTAGACAGCGTGGGCCCAACCAGTGATTCCTGGTAGACAATATGTGGTGCAATATACGTGGTGCAGGCTATGTGGTGCAACCTATGTGGTGACATCTTCGTGGTGCAACCTCTGTTGTGGGCTCTATGTGGTTCCACCAATGCGGTGCCATCTATGTGGCGCACTATGTGGTGCAATACGTGTGGTGCACCCGATGTAGAATGCGGGTGCATTCTACGCGGATCAGCCGACGTGTGCAAGGTGCGTGATGCAATTTACGCGTTGCAACCTTGCAGGTGCAATAGGCGCGGCCCAGACGACGGGCGGCGGCGAGACGGCGACGACGTGGCGACGGGGCGGCGACGGCGAACACGGATCCGCAAGTCAGCGTGCCCAGGCGACGGGCGGCGACGAGGCGGCGACGGTTGGGCCGCCAGACCGCCACCCAGGCCAACACGTAAAACGCCATAATAAGTGCAAGCGTTGTTTGGTGAAAGAGCGCATTGCGCTTTGGGGAACAAGCGCACGGCGCTCTAATACCCGCGGGCATTGCTCACCGTGCCTCCTCCCCTTGACTCGCCTTCTCCTTCTCCCTGCCCGCCCCCCTCGCAGGAACGCAAGCGCACGTCCTCATCCCCCTCTTCTCCCCCCGATGCATGGCCGCCATCCTCATCATCCCCCTCCCCCTCCTCCTCCTCCCCGCCTCCGCCCCTGGGCCCGGAGCCACGGCTGCGCGCCGTCGGAGCCGCGGCTGCGCGCCGCGGGCGGGCGCGGCCGCGATGGCGTCGAAGCCGTTCGTGGTGCCGCCGCGACGCGCGGCGCTGGCGGCGGCGGCGGCGGCGCTGGTGCAGGCGGGGGCGAAGCCGCCGCCGCTCCTGCCGCCGCCGCAGGCGGCGAAGGCGGCGCAGGCGGCGAAGGCGGCCCTCGGCCCGCGGCCGCCGACGACGCCGCCGCCTGGCGTGCTGCCGCTGACGAGCAAGGCGGCGGCGGCGGGGGCGAAGCCGCCGCCGCTCCTGCCGCCGCCCGCGCGCGAGCGCTCGCGCGCGCCCAAGCGCAGCGGCGCTGCAGCAGCAGCGCAGCAGCTCAGCCTCGCGCTCGAGCAGCAGCTGCAGCAGCAGCAGCAGCCGCTGCAGCAGCAGCAGCTGCAGCAGCAGCAGCAGCAGCAACAGCAGCAACAGCAGCAACAGCAGCAGCAGCAACAGCAGCCGCAGCCGCCCTTGGCGCAGTCCGTGGCGATGGCGTGCGCGGACGCGGAGGCGGACGTCGTCGTCGTCGTCGTCGGCGTCGGCGTCGGCGTCGTCGTCGTCGTCGTCGTCGTCGTCGTCGTCGTCGTCGTCGTCCGTCGGGCCTCCAGCTTGCGCTGCGCCCGCGCGGCAGCGCGAGCGCCGTCGCGCACCGCCCGCGCAGCGTCGCGGGCGGCGGACGCCACGGCCAGCTCCCCGAGGTTGCTGCGCGGGCGGCGCGCGACGGCGCTCGCGCTGCCGTGCGGGCGCAGCGCGAGCTGGAGGCCCGACGGGCGACGACGACGACGACGACGATCACGACGACGACGACGACGCGATCAGGACGCCGCGGACATGCAGTGAGCAGGCTTCCTCCTCCTCCTCCTCCTCCTCCTCCTCCTCCCCCTCCTCATCCTCTCCTCATCCTCCTCCTCCCCCCAGTCTCCTCCTCCCCCCCCCCCCCCCCTCCTCCCCCTCATCACCATCACCATCATCAGCATCATCATCATCATCAGCATCATCAACATCATCATCAGCACCATCAGCATCATCATCATCACCAGCAGCATCATCAACACCATCATCATCAACATCATCAGCATCAGCATCATCAGCATCATCATCCCCCCCCCCCCCCCCCCCCCTCCCCCCATCCATCATCATCATCACCAACATCATCATCATCAGCATCATCGACATCACCATCGTCAGCATCATCATCATCATTGTCATGTTCTGCCTTCCTCTCCTCCCCTATCTCGTCCCCCCCCCTCCCCCCCCCCCCCCCCCTCCCTCCCTGCGGACCGCGCCGACGGCCGCCGAAAACCCCGTCGTCGTCGTCGTCGTCGTCGTCGTCGTCGTCGTCGTCGCCGCCGCCGCCGCCGCCGAGGAGGAGGGGGGGGGGAGGTTCGAGGTTCGACCTTCGAGGGTCGAGGTTTTGGTGCGTTTTTTTTTTTTTTTTTTTTTTTTTTTTTTTTTTTTTTTTTTTTTTTTTTTTTTTTTGTTGCGTGTGTGTTTTTTGCTTCTGTGCCTCGTGGGCATTCTCGTCGCCATGCTGGGCCCCCTTCGAAATTCTGGTCAAAACGCGCCCCTCGATGTGTCCTGGGGCCGATTTCGGAGGCCCCATACACAAGGAGACAAAGTGAAAACTCAAGGAGACACAAAGGAAATATGACCCCCATCCCAGAGGAAACCAGGCAGGCAACCCAATAGGAATAGGAAACACAATAGGACAATGACATCCAATAGGAAACCCTACATGAATCCCATAGGAGCCCCCATATGGGAAACACATAGGAAACCCCATGGGCAACCCAATTGGACCCCCCACAGGAAACCCAATACAATGATCCCCATACGAAGCGCTTATATATGAAACATCTATAGGAAACCACAGGGATCCCCATCGGGCCCCCAAAGGAAGCCCCAGATGTCCACCCCGCCGCCCCCGATGATGATGATGATGATGATGCTGATGGTGATGATGATGATGATGATGACCCCGACGACGATGATGATGATGATGATGAGAATTATGATGATGATGATGATGATGAGTAGTAGTGGCACGGCACGGCACGGCGCGTATAAGCGGCGCGGGTCGGGCGGGGTCAACGCGAGGGCGTCGACCTGCCGCGCGAACAGCACCTGCGTGGGGGCGCGCCGCTCCTCCCCCTCCCGACCACCGCCCACCATCATCACCATCACCACCACCCACCAATCATCATCGTCATCATCATCACCACCGCCGCCATGCACCTGCACCGACCCCACCCGCCGCCACCTGCCACTGCCATCAATAGCACAGCCATGTTGAACCCAAAAAAAATTATGGATCATGTTGGACCAGATTTTTTGATATATATATATATATACTGCTCAATCGTGTTACACATATATGTGTATAATATGGGGCGAGCTACGTATATCAAGATATCTCGTTCAACGTGATTCAGATTTTGTTTTTTCGGTCAACATGAAAGCGTTTGCGGTGCATCACGCTATTTTTATGTTGAACAACAGACTACGCAATTGGCCACAACATGTATGTTGGGCCGCTCAACTTAAGTACTTTCGATCTGTTTGTAACCACTTAGCCCCGCTCAACTTAACACTTGCTAAGTCACTTACTATCTAGTTGCTAAGTGATTGCAAGTACTTAGCGCTATCTGGTGTTAAGCATGTCGCATCTGTTTATATCTGAGGTTAAAAGTTCCGAACGTCTGGCAACCGCCAAACTCATCCAAGTTCCGAAATCACGGAGCAGCAGCTCGCTGTCGAGCGCTACCGCGGCAGATGGCTTGTTGCATTGCCGTTTAAAACTCTTGATCCATTCGTAGACGTACGGCATCAAAACCAGCTTCTGGGCAGCGTGCTTCGCCGGTGCCGTTTCTTGTTCGCTAGCACCGTCGCGCGCTTCTCGATCAAATGGCGCAGCGCCAAAATGGCCCGAGCCGAGCGCGAACAGCGTGGTCGCTGCTCGCAGCGCGCTCGCCCAAGTGCACCTGAAACCGGTCGGGCCCCCCGCCCTGCTCGGGGGAATGCAGCTGCTTCCAGGTGGTCCGGGCCGCGTGGCGCAAGGCTGCGCTGCTCTGAAGCGCGGGCAGCTCAGAATTAGCTGGGTGAGCGTCGTGCAAAGCGTAAATGGTGGCCATGGGATCTTTTGGGTCAGCGAGGGACTCAGTGACAGACTCCTCTACCTGGTCGGTGTCCGCC